CAGCGGCTGATCTTCGGCATCGTTCTGTGAACAAACCATCGAACTGCACCAACTGAAACAGAGCACAAAAACAAGCCGTTTTTATGCGTTATTGCACGTACGCAAATGCAAAAACGCATATTGGCAAGAGGCTGTCTATGCGTTCGCACTTTTTGTCACCCACTTTCAACTCGAGAACCAGAAATGCTAGAAGGCTGAAATTTCGGGAATATGTACCTACACAATGTGCAACCCTTCTATTTTAATATTATCCCTGCGCACGCCTCGGTATCACGTACGGATACATTAAAAAAACATGCAAATTTTCAGGCGGGAAAGTGATATCGAGAACCAGAACGGACACAGAGCTGAAACTTTGCAGGTATATTCTCTGTGCATGTGTGAGCGGTCATGCTTCTCATGTTCTCTGTGCATGTGTGAGCGGTCATGCTTCCGAAGTGGTCATGCTTCTCATGTACCGGTGCGTGAAATTTTGTCGGGAAAGTTACTAACCCGTTAACCCGAAAATCTGGAAGGCTGAAATTTTAATGGCATATTCCCCGTCCATGTACAACTTAAATATTTCAACATCAGCCACCCGGCACGCGCGGTAGCCAAGTGCAGGCACGTAAAAGTATCGGCGCGGAAATTACTAGCTCGGGAACCAGAAAAGCTAGGAAGCTGAAGTTTTAAGGGGATGACCCTTATCTAACTGCAGCTTAAATGTTTCAAATCCAGCCTCCAGGTGCGTGTGGTTTTCATGCACCGGCAATTAAAATTTTGGCGAGAAAACTGCTCACTGAACGGCTAGGTCACTTTCAAAGACCGTTAATCGAAAACTGTTCATTTCCTTTATGCAAAATTTACGAAAATTTACACTAGTAAGCGCAAATATTCATGTAGTTAACGATATGAGTGTTTCGAGTCTGATTTAAAAACGCATGATCGCACCAGCAAACCTGGTGTATTCCAACCTGGGTTATTATTAAGCGTTTTTGCTTATATGCAAATTGTAAAAACGCATATTGCAACGATTCTGTCTGTGTGTATGTTTGTTTGTGTGTGTGTGTGTGTGTGTGTTTGCCTGTCCGAGTATTTCAACTCGGCAACCAAGCAAGCTTCGGCGGCAAAATTTTGCTAGTGGGTTCCCTGGCCATGTGCCACCCCAGAACTGCGGTACGAACCCTTATGAAAGCCTGGGCCCTGCGTACGAGAGGGTGAAATTTTTGGCGGGAAAATTGCTAACTCGAAAACGGAGAAAGCTAGAAAGCTGAAACTTTGAGATTATTTTCCTCGTCCACACAGAAGTCAAAGATTTCAAATTCAGCCCCGGGTGTGCTTGGTTCCCAGGTACAGCCCCATAAGGGTTCCTAACGCGAAAATCGCTGATTTGGGAACAAGGAAAGCTGGGAAGGCTGTAATTTTCAAGGAATGTTCCCAGCGTAAGTACAACATAAACTTATCAAATTCAGCCACCAGTCGTACGTCGTTCCCCGTGAAATTTCTTGGCGGGAAAATGGCTAACTCGAGAGCTAGCAAAGCTGGGAGGCTGAAATTTTCAGGGGATATTCCCAGCCCATGTACGACTTAAAGTTATCAAATTCAGCCCCCAAGCATGCGCGGTTCTCATATAGGGCCCCGTGAAACTATTTTGGCGGGAAAATAGCTAGCTCGAGGAAAGCTGGGGAACTGAAATTTTAAAGAGATGTTCCCAGCCTACATGCAACTTAAAAATTCTAATCCCAGCCTTGAGTATGCTCCTAGGTCACGTGCAGCTCTCTGGAAGTTTTGGCGGGAAAACTGCCAACCTGGGAAACAGAAAAGCTGGAAAGCTGAAATTTCAGGAGAATATTCCCCGTCCAAATACAACTTAGAGGTTTCAAATTTCAAATTCCGCTTCCATGTACGCGCGGTTCTCGTGTACGGGCACATATATTTTTGACGGAGAAACTACTCATTGAACAGCTGGGTAATTTTCAAACCCAGGCTGGCGGGTCCGTGCGATCATGCGTTTTTGCACTGCGCAAATCATTAAGTGCATGAATTGTTGTTTTTGTTTTACAATTACCTTTTGCGACCGCTAGCACAAATCATCATAAATCTTGCATAAAGTAAATGTACAACTTCTATTTAACGGTCGTTCCTTAAAAATAACCTAGCTGTTCAGTGGAAAATTTTTCCGCCAAAACTTTTAAGTGCCCCTACGTAAGAATCACGCAAACCTCAAGGCTGAATTTGAAATACTTAAGTCTTGCTTGGACAAGGGACATTCTCCTAAAATTTCAGCCTTCTAACTTTTCTGGTCCCCAAGTTAGTAATTTTCCCGCAGAAAATTTCATGAGCCCTTACGTGAGCACATTGCATAGCTGGGGGCTGAATTGAAATATTTGAGTTATACTTGGACAAGTAACATCCCCCCGAAATTTCAGCCTTCCACTTTTTCCGGTTATCGAGGTAGCAATTTCTCCGCCAAAACTTAAAAAATTCAGCTTCCCAGGCAGATGAGGTGCCCGTACATGGATACCCCATGTGCCTGGGAAGCTGAATTTGAAATTTTTAAGTTGCACATGGACAGGGAACATCCCCTAAAATTACAGCCTTCCGGCTTTTCCGGTTGCCCAGTTAGTGATTTGCCCGCAGAAATTTCCATACGCCCTTACGTGAGTACCACGCATACCTGGGGGCCGAACTTGAAATCTTTAGCTAGTACATGCACAGGAAACATCCCTACAAAGTTTCAGCCCCTTAGCTAATGTGGTTTCCGAGATCGCTTTCCGCCAGAAAATTTGTATTTATTTAAAGCGTTCGTACGCAGCACCCAGGCGTCCGCGGGGGATGAAATTAAAAGGGGAGGGTCGCGTATGGTATGACCATATACTCCCAAAGTTTCACCCTTCTAGCTTTTTATGCGTTTTTTGCAACAATGCAATGCGAAAAACGCATACTGACGAGAGGTTGTCTGTGTGTCCGTGTGTCAGTATGTCTGTACGTCTGTGTGTCTGAGCGTCTGTGTGTCTGTGCGTCTGTGTGTCTGTGCGTCTGTGTGTGCACGCACTTCCATCTCAGGACCTATAAAAGCTGCGGGGCTGAAATTTCGTGAACTTAATCTACATGCACGTACCGCCCCCAATCCCCAAAACAGGTGCCAAAACCCGCGTGGTACCCACGTACGGGCCCGCCAAAGTTTTTTTGGGGTCAGTTCATAATTCGGGGACCTGAGAAGCTAGGACGCTGAAAATTTGGGATAATGTTCCCCGCTCAACCGGGCATTAGTGGGCTCAAACCCAGCCCCAGAGTAAGCGTCGTACCCGCGTACGAGCCCGCCAAAGTTTTTTCCGTGTAAATTGATAACTCAATTACCTGAGAAGCTAAAGGAATGTAATTTTAAGAGCATATATCCCGTCCACCTAAGTTTCATTCAGCTCGAACCCAGCTCCCAGGTATGCTTGGTAAACATGCACGGGCCCGTGAAAATTTTGTTCCAGGAAGTTGCTAACTCAGGGGCCACGGAAGCTAGAAAGCTGAAATTTTAAGGGGATGTTTCCTGACAGTTTTGGCGGCCAGTCTTAGTTTCTTTAGCTAGAAGCATTTGCCGAAAAAACTGGTGCCGGTAGCAACAAAAACTGCGGAGAACCATGCCAAAAACGCATCTTCGCACGGGCAGCCCGTGCGTTGGTCAATTATTTGATTCTGGAGTTGAAAGTGGGTAATAAAAAGTGCGAAAACACACAAACACAGAGAGCCACTTCCTAATATGCGTTTTTGCAATTTGCATGTATGCAAAAACGCATAAAAACGACCGCTAAACGGAAATTTTTTATAGTGATTTACGGTACTAAGCGCACATGGTAGGTGTAAAGAAACAACTGTTCATGCAGTTAACTTAATTATTTCAAATTTGATGCAAAACGCATGATCGCACCGGCTGGGTTCGTAGTCATAACACCATGCGAGCGTCGCTGATGCGACACTTTTGCGAACACACATTAATTTACGCAGAATGCCACGAGGCAAACAGGGATTTCACGGGACAAGCCACTTGGCAACAGATACAGGCAAGCACACACACGCGCAAAAATCGCATTTTATTTGTTTCACAATTAGCACAGAGAGGTGTGCATCAAGTTCAAAACAAAAGCAGCGAAAACTGAGAACGAGGTAAAAAGCACTTTAACAACTGCCTTGAGAGAGGCGGAAGCAAGACACACTAAAATCCTCGGCAACTTCTTCAAAACGAATCTCCCGATAACAGAAAACCCCACTCGCTCTTTCTCCCTTTCCTCTGGCATTTGTCAGTTTCGTATAGGAAACCCAATCTGTAAAACAAGTAGAAACAGAAGCCCACTTTTACGATATGCCGAATTTGTCGGCAGTGTGTACACTGCTGATTTGTCGGAAAACAGAACCAGCGCTTGGGGAAAGCACCTAGACAGCACAGATCTCAGGAGAGTTACGCACGAATGACTAAAATGCAGTTAATGCCCGCTCGTACTTCTGTGATAAAGGGAAAGGCAAGTGTGGGGAAAGAAAATTTTTTTTTTCTCCTCAGAGGTTCATGACGTACAGCACGAAACCTGCATCTAGCAATCTGAAAAAGGGCTTAAATTTCCGAACAAACATTTAAAGCCGCTCTCAGATCGAATGGTCCACACTGGAAAGGAGTTAAGGCGATCACGAATTAACGTCCAAATTGCAATACAGCACTTCCACCTCATCAGTTACTTATGGAAGCAGAAGCAATCAATAAAAACGCTAAGGAGAATGACTTAGAACCCAGTTCAACTGGGGGTAAACACGAACTTTTAAATAGCAGGTTGAGGCAAAAAAATTCCAGTGAAGTGGCCCGGCGTGGCAGCGTTTGCCAATGGATTTTTTATAAGTGTTGCTAATTTTTCGATCTAGTGGGATTGCTAAAAAATAAGGCAGGAGGGGCGCTGGATCCCTGATAAAACCAAAAGCAGCTAGTGAGCGGAAAAGTCACTGGCTCTCCGCAGACATTGGTTCTTCCTGCTCCCAAACTCCAACCTGAGAGAAATGCTATTTTTCGGTGTATGAATTTGGCAGCACAACAAGTCGAAAGTACACAAAAAAAAAGTAAAGGAATGCACCACGACAACAGATCACAACGTAATGGAAGGAACTTCGAGGCGCGCACTCATTTTGAGAGAACTTTCTTCGGTGTACTCTGAAACAAAGAGATACATTGTCCAACTCAGCGAGGAATTCCGAGCAAAATCAAAACTGTAAATGCGCTTTGAAATAGTTAAAATGACGCTTGCACGAAACACTTAAGCGTATGAGTACAGATGTAAGTCCACAAGTGCATGTATGAGTGATGGAAAAAAAAAGTTACCCCGCGGAAGACCTGTCCAACCTGCTCACTGAACAGTTCAGCCATCAGCAGAACACTACTGATCCTTTTAACGGTGGCACCGTCGCCCTCCTTCTGCTTCCATCGCCACAAAATTGTCTTGGTCACTTTTATCGGCTGAAAAAAATAAGCCTTCAACTGCTGTAATGGGGAAGAGTCAAATCGAGGATGCCAGCACCAGCAAATCCTGTTGCGGCGTTCAGCCCGCTGTGCTTTGCATGTCGCCCCTGAACCAGCACTCACTCCAGTGCTACGGCTCACCATTAAGACTGCCTTACGGGAAAGTGTACCTCTTCTTTGGTACTGTACTGGTCTCTCTGCACATTCATCGCTTCTGCCAGCGTCGGCCAGCTTTTTGCCAATAGAGGAGCGAGTTGTTCGATGTGCGAATCAGTTAACGCAGCAGACGGCGGCTCAACGTGCTCCTCCCTGGAAATGTCACAGACAAGAACTAGTACAAATTAAAAAGCTTTTTCTGAGTTTTCGGACATCGCTGGTTCATAAATCGAAAAAAAGTGAGCCGTTTCTGAAACAATCATCACAAGGTATGACAGGGGTGAAAAGAGGAACCCATTAGGAAGCGCAGAAGAGTCGCTGCTGCTACTGAGTTCTCCAGCTGCTCGTCTTTTCCTGCCATTTGCTGCACCCGTACTGCTCCCGTCCAAATCCTAAAACAGAGAAATTCAATGAACAGAACATAAATATGCAGCGAATTATCCGCGATGTACTACTGTTTTTGTCGCCGTGCGAGAATCAGTTGAACTTGCGTTGGAGACCGCCCCTGTTCACCCATGAAATATCAGCAGTTAATACCGCCTGCCTTATAATGATGCTCGCTTTAACAGGGCAACTGTTTAAATGTCTGATGCTTATGGACATGTCAAGATAGGCGGCAGACGTCAGGAAGGCTTCCAACGAGAATTATTAATCAACTTGAGATTCCCCTAACGAACACACGACCAATGATACATGAGTTATTCTACGTCTCATGTAGCGAAGAATCATTTATGAGCGGAATCGTTGACCGAAATTACCAAAAATTCAACAAAATCAATGGCGAATTCGATGCTAGCCATGCCAAATAGACGCATCTATCCGCCAATACAGCTGTACGAGATTCTTTAGCGCTGGTCTTCATGTCATCAATTAGCAGTCGCGTCTCACTGACTGATATATATGCACCATTTCTTCAAAAGCCGCGCAAAAATGCATGCTCATTTCCTCATGGGCATCACTTATTAATAATGAATGTGTCCACCTGTCGTCAGCAAGGCGAGCAACACGAATTGCTATCAGATTTCATCTTCCTGCGTAGCTGCAGTGACATTGCATGCCGTCCTTAGGACTAACAGTATGTGGTTACAAGCAGGCACTCTAAGCATTCTTCGCCCCACCGCGTCCTCCGTCACAGCCGGCATTTGGTCCTTTACTTTAGTCAGAGGCCGCGTTCCTCACCTGTACCTTCCACCCTTCTATACGATGATGAGCATGGCCTTCTTGGTTCCACATTTTGACGGTGTCGGTGATGCTGAGGAATTTGCGCCAACTGCCAGCCCTACTATGTGCAACCTCCGACTGAGAAATGAGGCGCATTACTTCGTGATGAAGAGAGACTGTTAACTTCTTCGCAGAAAATACCTTCTATCCGGGAAAGCAGCGTGGTACAGCAAAATGCTGTGTTAATCTTGTTCTAAATGAGTTAGCTCCCACGCCTATCGTTCAGTTCCTGCTGAATTTCATTCTTTTTGCGGTGGTGTTGCTTCCACTAATAAATATTTGGCCCCGTGTAAATGGTCTAGCATAAGTAAAAGTTCGATCAATAAAAGCTATTTAGTGAAACGATGGAAAAGTAAGTAGGTGTCTCGCAACTGGCTAAAAGTGGATAAATACAAAGACGATCACTGACCGGAATGTTTGCTGCTGTGTGCCTGATCACTTCCTCAAGAAAAGGCGCCATACTTGCCGTCACCTCACTTTTTTTTGACGGAACCTGCAAATAAGCTAAGCTAAAACTGTCTTAATGATTCGACACAAAAATGCAACATACCTGAAAATATGAGGCACTTTGGGAAAGGAGGAGTCGCGAGGCTCGCCATTGAAAAGATTCGTTGTTCACCGATCTGTAAAGCACGTCCCTCAATCCCAAATAAAACAGGAAAAAAGGGCGGGAAAGATTAAGCGTCAGCAACGGCATAAATGCATACTTATACTGTTCCTCAACTTGTTGTTTCGGGTCCATCTCATCCATTACATCCTGCACAACACTGTTCATTTTCGGAATGAAATTCCTGAAAGCAAACGGTACAAGCAATGGCCTCCATTCTAATGCAAACTGTTTATCATTCTGCAATGCTGCGCGCAGCACTAACCCAAGAAACATAACGGACAGCCAGCCAGAAGCTGCCCTTTCGAAGTGAAGAAATTCTCTTTTTCAACACACACTGAGCACTTGTAGAGCCCTTATAAAGACAACTTCACGGTCCATAACCAAATGCGTACAGAACGAAGCCAACTTAACAGCCGGCAAGCCAGTCAAACAACGCAACGAGATGCTAGCAAAAGCGAAGGAAACGAACAATTTAATCATCGCTAATTTGAAAGAGGAGAAGGAGAGCTTGCTCATAATGCAGCTTTTTTTAAAAATTTTGAAATCTGTAAGACCTGAAACACTGGCTGAGCTTCTTATTACAAATTTACAATAAACTGATCCCACATCCTCCAGAAACAGCAAAACTGCCTGAACATTAACAGTGATAATGATACGGTGTTACTGGACTGGCACCGCAAGCGGGATGTAGATGCCTCACCTCTCGACCTCCAGTTAGTGCAGCCGGGAATGCAAGTGAACCTCCTCTTCGGAAGCCGCCTACGTTATTATTACATACTTTTTTGGATTGCCGACAAAACACTAGTGTTTAACAGGATAAGCCAGCAGCTGCCAAGACAACAGGAAAAATGTTTATGGACAGAGAATGAGGAAAAAAAAGTGTTAGACTTCAAGCTGGTAGAGCTACTTGCAGAGAATTTCACCCCCTCCCCCCAAGCAGCATTAAGACCGTTCTTAAAAGTAGAATATCCCTGTGAATTTTCAGCATCACAGCTTATCCGGTAAGCGAAATACAAAATACCTTGAAGTGTCCTAAGTCGTGGCGCAAGTTTCGAACAAAATTTTGACTTTTACTTTCTTCAAACACGGAAAAAGGAAATATGAATTTCAGCTTGAAAAACCTATCGGAAACATAGTTAGACTTTCTGTACCAGTAGAGCCATTTGTAAGTTTGCAAGTTTCTTCAGTCACCTGGGAGCGATAAATCGTATTTTCAAGATATTTCTCTAGGCATATCAGGTAAGCCGATGGGAGGGAATGGTTCTAGGAGGGCGACTAACTGCAGACTTGCGCCTCACAGGCGTGCACGTGACTGCGCAACTCCAGTTCTAAAATCTCTAGACCGACAACCAACTAAGCAGTGAAACAGGAACATTTATTCAGAGGAAGCGTAATCCTCGAAAACTCATGGGACAGGCTCACAGGCAGCGTTGCTCTCAAAGGAAACAAACTCGGAGCGTCACGCTTGCTATGCATAAAGGAGGGGGGCAACAAGGAGAGAGTCGGGGATGAGAAAATGCGAGCACAGCTGCAACATTATGCAGGAAAGCAGAACCTCCTTTTGTCTTCGCAGGCTGCCAGCATGTCTGGATTGATGTTCCAGAGTTTCGTCAGCTCCGGGTTGCCGAGATCAACTTGCGATGGATCATATCTGTTTCTCGCACGTCTGCAACTAATATTGCCTTCCAACAAATAACGCACTTAAATCGAGGGGACAGAGGGGGAGCGAGGGACCGAGGGCGGATGAATGGAACTGTAACATCTCCCGGTAGGATTACTGGACTAATATTGTAAAATGCATAATAATCCAGGAAGAGAATAGTCGAAAATAGAGGAGAGCAGTGGGGGCCCTCAAACGGTTTTTTGCAAAGTGCAATGAGGTTACTTTTTAAAAAGACTTGGCTTTTCGCTGTCGGCGAGCTGCGTGTAGTCAATGCATCCTTTGTTCTTCCACTCCGACCACTCCTTCTCGCGATGTAAAATAATCTAAAGCGAACACTTCAGCAAATACACC